GGATATTGCAGCTTCGCAGTCAAATAGTGTTGGGTAGGGTGAAGTATGCTCTAGTTCAAAATATCCAAATTTTGCGCGATTTTGTCTACTAAGAAAAAAAGTTATGAACGAAATAGCGTCAAAGCATTTCACCGAAGACTTTTGAGCGCTACTGTATGTATGTATTTCTCGTTATACTATAACTCAAATACATGTTTAATGGTCAAAGAACATGTGCGCATCCTGAACCCGGTAAAGGTTTCTCTTTCCAAATTATATCGGTGTTTGGATTTCCATAGACTTTTCGAATGGAACTGGAAACAAAGTCTGCGAGAATAAAATCGTTTAGCAGACTGACCTAACGGATTTCGTTGCCATTGTTGAGTGTTGCCTACAAATAAGCGCAGGGTAGGATCAGGTATATTGCCTTGATTTTGCAGTTCTATCTTATGTGGGATCACTTTGATGCTTCACCTGAGGCGATCCCTCAAGTACAGCAGGATATCCCGACCCTGCGATGCTAACGTTTTCTGCCTTTGCGATGTCACTGCTCGAGTGAGAGGACCTGGAGAAAGTCAAGGACTGAGAGAAAATAGCGTAAGAGTACTAAGTAGCAACCTTGGACGCTTCTGGAACATTCTACTTTGAGAGGTTTATGCATAGGAATAATATTTTCAGAGCCGCAGGTGGGTATTAAGAGAGAGTAGCAGCTTAGCCACGAGTATTGATGACAATGAGTGGAATTTTTCTTGGAATCACAAATAATTCGAATATTACACACTGACCTTTCCGAAATGAACCATCAGCTGTGGTACCAGCGAGCTCATCGTTACATTTGTCATATGAAGCGATGACTGATGTGTTGTCGTTGAGTGCGTCAGATAAGGAGACTCCACGGTAGCGGCTCCCCGACTATCTATCTGGACAGCCGAATCTCGGATTGTAGCCAACTGAATAGAAGCGTCTAGCAAAAACGCCTCATCGAGCTGGCCAACGACTCCTTCCATGAGTAGTTCTTCTACCGAAGAGGCGCCAAACAGGAAACTGTCACTGGATTCGATTCGAATTGATCCACCCAAAAACAGATGACCAATGCTGTACATTTTACCTGAAATTAATTATTTTCTAAGTTCTAACAAAAAATCTGAGTGTTACTAGATAATTTCTTGGTTGTTTACTTTTTGGTATAGATTTACCTTTTCTCGTGTCTTCCGAAAGCCCATTTCAAAACAGCAGTTCCTGAGGGTGAGGAATAGGAGGGCTGATGTGCTATCAGGTTTTCATATAAGTTTTTTTTT